TTGTCTTTGTTCTTGGTATGCTAAAATACAGTAAAATGCAGGTAAAAGATGAAACCAAGCCTATGGGAGGGAGCAAGACGCTAATTCCGCCCATGTGATCAACACGCAGTGTGATTTTAAGATGATTATTTATTTTTTCCTGCTTTCCTTCATTACTTATGATCCAACAACCACAAAGGTTTAAATTTAGGTCAAAATAAGGGGCACATTTCAATCGCACAATGTGACCCAACTATAGGACAGCAATGTTAAATGATTTAGGGCGCGAACTTCCGCATGGAAATGTACACTACAGAACTCATAAAGAATGGCTTCAGACACTAGACCCTTTTTTCCCCTATCGAACATCTGTGTTCTGCTATTTGGACCAAGGGAAGAAGCTCATGGATAGCACACCAAGTGGCAAGGTGGTTAGGATCCAGATGTTGGACTGGTTTTTCGCAGATCGGGGCTGCCGGCTCATTCATGAGCTGTTTTAGGTTTTCAGACACTTCAGCGATCGGCCAGGATCGAAAAATAAGTTTGACTTGGTGCCCACGCTCGCTACTTCAGACCGTTGCATCACTTCCTCAAACCAACTCTGAATGGGCTACCTTCACCGAACTTCAAACCAAGCTCTGTGTTCTCATTTACTGCAATTTCAGCCTTGTTTGACCCGATATCGTCCCGATTTTGTCTATTTCGCGACCAAAAAGTTGCTGGTCCTCTTCTGAAAACGACTGCTATTTTAGAGTGGCGGACCGTTGCAGCGAGAATCTGATGACGGTGGGCAATTTGGGTGTGTGCTTTGGTCCGACACTGCTACGACCGAAAGAGGAGACGATGGCCGCAATTATGGACATTAAATTCTGCAATGTGGTGGTTGAAGTTCTAATAGCGCATTGTGAACAGGTATGAATGGAGAAATCTCAAAAGATATTCATGAAATTGAATGGTTGAATTTTTCAGATATTCGGCACCGAACCTCCGAAATCCATTGGACAGCCATGTCCACCCAAACCAGATCATCGAAGCATTCATCAAGAGTCAAGTCATCCAGTGATTTCGCTAAGGTTCGTAAACTGATTTTTTTTTCACAGTATAAGTTGATAGGCGGAGTCAGTTGTGCCGTCGCGCCGTTCTCATTTGGTGGCCTCCTGATGACAGTAGAAGGAACACAGCAGTGTGGGAGCCACAGTGGTCTTCCCAGGGAAGGTTTTCAACTTCCCATAAACTTTAAATTGAGAAATAGGGTAGAGCCTGAAAGGCTCGTAACGAATGTGTGGACACCACAGCTGCTACGAGAACCTGCCGGGAAAGCTATGCATGGTCAAAATTTATTATGAATGTTTGATGTGATGGTGCTGGGTAAAACCTTCACCCAAAAGCTACCGATTGTCCTGATTTGCAAATACGGCCATCTATCTCTTGCGAATGGCACCATTGCTGGTCTACAATTTGGAAGCCCTCCTCCCCCCCCCCCCCGCCAGCTAATTTGGCAAAAATCTGAGGGCGAGGAAGCGAACGTTCTTATACCAATTTTGTTTGGTTTCGCCAAATCTTCTTGGTCTTTACCAGTTAAGCTAAAGAGATGCGAATTCGAGTCTATCCTGGGTGGAAAAGGCTGTTTCTAACCCAGTGTTCTTGTGAACCTAATTCTTCTGATAATTTTAGAAAAGTTTTTTCGGACAGTTTTAAGTTTCTTAACTAATTTGATTTTATTTGAAAATTTAATTTCAATTAATATTTTAGTGAACGCCAAGCAGACAATGGTCGTCAGATGCTCAGTGTATCGGCAACGTCGTCAGTGCCCACTTCCACACCAGTACGGCCACGAGCTTTCGTACCATCGCCGCCGGCAATTCGTGCTCATGCAGCTGCAGGTTCAGCAACTGGCAATTTGGCTTCTACCAATAGCCATATCTATGATGTTCCTCCCGAAGGTAATTACTTGGCTCTGATGGGGGTCTTTACTCTTTTATGAACTTTTTCGTTCGCATTTTCGCACAAGGGGTCCTCGATTTGGGAGATGTTTTTATAGCTAATTTCGCACTTCCTCGACCGCACGGGGGTTTAACGAGGGTGCTGGATGTTGGAAAAGTGCAAAGGTGGGAGGGGAGGTGGTGGCGGAGGAGACGGTGTCGTTTTTGACATTTTCGAATGAATTTTAGGGAAACTTCACGACATAAGTCTTATTAACTTATCTTTCTATCGCGGCTATTTTGCATTGAGGAAAGTGGGCGGAGTTGGCTGGGTGGAGATCGCTCGGCTTCTCACTGGCCGATCCTTTTCTTGATAAGGTGCGATACCGTAAAAAGTGAAGGTTGGCCAGTGAGAATCCCACTCAGTGCCCATGTAGTTAGCGCGCAGTAGTTTTGTCACATATTTTCATATTTATCGTTATCATATTTTGTATCACAAATATACTGAGACGTTTTTGTGATTCATCTTAGCTCTTCTTAACAGCTCTTGCTTCTTTTCAGCTGCGTCATCATCAAAGCTGTTGCCGACCTACGGTGCTGCGAGCTCGTCGGCTGCGACCACTCCAACGACACCACCGTCCCAGTCGGCCAGTGTTTTATCCACTCGCACACCGGGTACAGCTGCGGCTTCTTCGTCTTCACGAGCTGCTGCTCACTGTGAGAGTTCGGACTCACTGAATTCACTCATCAGTGGAGGCAGTGACAGTCCGAAAGCAAGCGCATCGAGTAAGGTGTCAGTTGAGTCAAGAGGTCAGCTAGTTGTCCATTTTTCGCGTAGAGCTGGCTGTAGGTGCGAGGGGATGGCAGGGGTTGGGAAGGGTCGGAGTGGCTTACCTGGGCAAACTTCAGAAGCAAGGGGGAGGTATAGGATCACTTTGAAGTTTGGGCGCTTTTCGACCTTTTGGTTGTTTTTTTTGACGAGCAAGTTAATATGTATATTTCATTATATGCAGCTTTGTTTGTTTTGGTTATTTTATTGTTGGCTTTAGGTTGCTATTGAGAGGTTGTACTCAGAATTAATAGGGCTCGGCGACTCCAAGAATCTCAAGTAGGGCCCTTGCTGAACTCGGTACGATAAGCGGGTCAACTGTCTGAGAGTCGAGAGGTGTGAAGTAAGGCCTAACTCCAAGGTGATCCCATCTACCCAGCCACCTTGGGCTAACCCAACCCCTGCCAAACTGTTGGGCCATGGCGCTACGTTTATTCGATGGGATCATTTCAATAAGTACTTTTGCAGGCAAAGTGAGCACCTCATACGCTCCGGCCTACAACCCGCTTGCATGTGAAACGTAAGTCTGTTCCTGTCCTTTTCGCTAAGTGCTATTTTAACGGGAAATGCTATCAGCTAACTCTAATCAAGTTACTAATAATATCTGCTGTGTGCGTGTGATTCAGAATAGCGCACAAGTTGAACAAGCGAAACTCGGGTCTCAACGTTCTCTGTAGTGCGGAGTGAGTTGAACCTGCCGGAAATTCGTGCCGACGCCTCAGGCCTCTGACAATACGAGGATGCAAGTGCGATGTGACATCATGCCAAACACGAAGTACATAGTGAAAGTAGCGGAAGTTACTCTTGAAGAAGCACAAGGAAACACGTGAAGAAGCCCGCGAAAAGGGCAGCGTTTTTTGCTATAGCAAGAAGCTGAGCTATTAAGAAAATGCCTCGACGGGGGCTCGAACTCGGGTCTTGTGCTTGTTGAGCAGGTGTGCTAAGTAAGCAGAAAAAAATAAACTGAATGTTATTGGAGAATGTTTCTTGGTTGCTCTAATGTGTCCAAGTCAAACTAACACTCTTATTCAGTGTTTCCATCATAGGTATAAGCGAAGCAGTATAGTAGTTTGGAAACAAAATGTCTAATTTTTCTCATTTTGACATATTATTTGGATAGCTTGAACGATTTTCTGGCGCTTATGTTTTTTTGGGAGGGGGGGGGGGGAGACATTAAAAACAGGGCCGATGGTAGGTGAGACTAGGACTAAGCCCAGCAAAGGGGAGAAACGCCAGGGAGAACACAAATTGCTCATGCTCCCCAGATCCCTTCCCTTCCTAGGCTTAGTCCCAAGCACAGTAATTGGCTCACTCACTTGGATGTCCCCAAGGGTGTGAGCGCCGAATTTTTTTTCCAAATATAACAGGAAGAAGGTCTAAGTGCTCGTTTGACTGACCTCTGTTCCACTGGAGGTGAAATAATCCGGTTAAATCTGGCTCAGTCCATGGAACGTAAAGATGATCCTTTCTTAGAGGTTAAACACGGGTTTCGAGTCCTCGTCTGATGCCCAAACATATTTCATAGCGCAGCTCAGAATCTTTGATGAAATTAGCCTGCCACAAAAACGACAGAAGACAAAACCTGATCAACAACTTCTAATTGACAAACTTTGCATGTTTTTTAGATCGTTTGTTCTGTAAGTGGTAGTACTTTGTTCAACTCATATCACTCTAACATAGTTACCCCTTCGTAAAAATAAGGATAAATATATGGTCTGAGAACGAAAAGCCGGTTTCCATTTATAGGCCTCATCAATGCAGCCGGTTTTCCTTCTTCGCTTTTCAAGATCCCTAAATCATCTTTTGCTTTCGTTCACCCATTTTTCCATCAACCCGTCGTTTTTTTCATCAGCCCGTCGTTTTCGTTTCCGTCTATGAGGTTCATACCCGTGCTGCGCGGATTGCGCAGGTTTTTCCAGGCTTTGGATGCTTCTTTTGAATTCAACAGCGGGTGTTATTAACCCTAGAAATAAGAGTAGTATGCAGGAGAAAAATCAAGGGACAGTTCCAAAATAACTTGGTTTCTAAGAGCTTAGCGCAAAAAATGACAGGATTTATTTGAAGCACAAGTCATTTCCCTGATTTCAGTTCGGTATCAAATCAGTTTCACTAAAAGACCGTTGAAATTCGAATTTCGACGAAGTACCATTGCGTGCGCGGCGCTGAGATACGAAAATTCTCGACGACACTCCTCGCTGTATCCAAATTCTTCATCACTAACATTCAATACATCACGTGTCAAAGATGGCGCAGAAATATTTGACTTTCGCCGGCGTCCGGGTTCGTGGTTCACGCACAGTCAGCATCCCCCGTATGTAGCCAGGCGGGCTCTGCTTCGTGCTCGTACTCTGTTGGGGCACGTGCTCCAAAGGGCGCCGCTTTCCGCCAAATTAGCCTGCCGTGCATCGTTGTTGCGAAGTTCGAGCTTCTACTTTCGGTCGAACAGACGCCAATCGCCCCCCCCCACGCCACACGACCCCGCCGCGATCCCTGACGCATGTCCTGCGACTCTCACTATCCCCCAAATATGTGCTCATGCCTATGTTCGGGCGTTGCACGAGCTTCTTTCTGCCATCCTCGATTATCAGGTGTTGTGCTAGTGAACTGAGTGGAATGGTCCGGCCAAATGTAGTGATGGAAGGTGTGCTGGTGGTGACCGAAACTCGCGCTCCGTCTCTCCGTAGCACCCTCCGTGTGCACAGCCGCCGCAGCAGCAGCAGACCGGTCGGGGTGCCGTCGACGTCCACGTCGACAATTTCGGTGCCGAACAATTCATCAACGACCTCCTCATCAGAATGTCCCGTGCAACGTATCTCTCCGATGTACTCATCTATGATAAATCCGGTTGTCTCACTGCAACCGAGGTGGGTTTGATTCTTTACTGTTCCTCTCCTCATTTCGTTTACCCTATCCGCTTGCAATTTCATTTCTATTAAATATACATGCAATAAACGCACGCACGTATACACCCACACGTAAATGTGTACACATTTTTTCCTCGTTATAACGGTTGTGCCTCTGGTTCTTTCTTTTGTAATAGTTAGTTTTAGTTAGCAGAGTTTTCGTATCTTTTCCTTTAGTTAAGTCGTAAACTATTTCCGGCATGGTCAGTTGTGGAAAATATTCATATTGCGTTTGAATAGCGCACGCCACCTGTCCTTTTGTTCGACAAGCTTGCCGCGTTAACTAGTCGTGAGTACCGCTGTCACCATCCCTGACGAACCCACGGCGTGCCTACTACCCCCCCGTAAACCTTAGGGCGCACTACTTGGATCTGCACCCAGGGGCAGGAAGCTTTGGGTAAATTTCACTTTCACACCTGATCGCAATCCTCACACCAAGCATTACTTAGTATCCCGGCTTCCCAGAAAATTGTTCACCGGAGTGCAACACTTGCCCACACCCCCCCCCCCTACCTCATCGATACAGCGGCTTGTACCTGAATGCTCACCGCACATGCTCCACTGCGTCACCGTCCGCCGTCCACTACCCCACCCCCCGAATCATTCAGGCTCTTTTAGAACTGCAGCCACACGCCATGATTCCAAATATAAGACCTCTACCCTATATGCGCTTGGACAAGTGGGCGACAGGCAGCTGCTCCAGGCTCTTCGCCACGCACTCTTCGCACTTAGTGGATGCAGGTGATACTCCTCCACATTTGGTATGCATGCGGCCTCGTCCATCTGTGCGCTCTCCTTCCTGGCTCATACATACTCGTATTCTGCGTTTACAACCCTACGCGCGCTATGTCCGTAGTACACAGGCTGCAGCTACTCTGTTGATGCCACAGCTTTACCGTCCGATCGATGTGACCGTTTTTTAGCTGCGTCCTCCCCTTCTTCTTTCATCCCTCAATTCTGTCGGGTTACCTGCCCTGCCCAAGATATTGATCTTGGGCGGCGTGCCTTTGAAATTGGGCTAGAAAATATGTCTTATAGCGATGCCGAAGAGACGTGATGATTCATGTTCATTCTCTTCGCTTTGTTCTTGACCGTCCTTCTTCCAAACATGTGGGCCCTCCATCGGTATCTTCCTGAAGGTTTCCGGGAAGTTTCGAAACCGACCAACAAGACAGCAAACGGCTGTCGTCATCTAAATATTCCTAAATCACGCCTCCAGACAGAAGTGTCGCCCCTCGATACTTGGCTCTGCCTGATTACGACCAAGTCGCCTTCAGCGGCGCCCACGCTCTTACTACATTAACTCTCGCGGGCTGGTTGTAATACTTCTCGCTTGCAAAAAAATAGCGTTTTATATGTGTCTTCGGTGGTCACCAGCTAGTAGAACATCAGCGATCTTGCTGCACGGACATCTCTGAGTGACCACGCAAGCGAACCTGCCTTAACCTATTGAATTCGGGCTTAAAACAGAAAGGCAAAGTCAAAATAAAAACGCACGAAACAAAGAACAAGAAGAACGCAAACAGAAATAGTTATAAGAAACGGACAGAGAAAGATAGAAGTACACGCCTCGAGGATCCATGAACTCTTGATTTAGTAGGCATATAGGAGGCGTGCTAAGGATACTTCGCGACGGGAGGCCGAAGGGGAGTGGAGGAGAACATTGAACTTTCAGTCTTCTATCGGGAGGGGGGGGAGGACGGTCCCGCTCGCGCCATTTCAACTGCCAAAATGTTCGTCCAATATCCGGATACAGAAGCTTTGGTATACTAGTCCGTTGCGAACAGACGGGCGGGCCGTGGTCTGAAGCAAAGATTAAGTGACATTCTTCTTCTAACGATTTGCTGACTATTCATCTCTGAAATGGATGATTGAGCTTCATCCACAAATGTAAATAAGGTGGAGATTAAAGTTCCGTCACGAAATATTTCACTGTCAGATATTTGTCGCGGATTTTTGAGGCTTGGAAATACACATAGTAATTTGAGTGAGATAAACCGCAAGTAGTAAACACTCCACACGGTAAGAACCTGAGAGAAAACACTTTCTCTTATTATCTTAAATTCAAGCTAAGCTCAAATAAGAAAATATTTGAACATGATTGGCAAATTCTATTCTGAATTGACTCCCCCTCTATATATTATACTTCTACTACCAGTTTCCAATAAGGGTGATGTTTCCGATCCAAAAAAATCAAACAGAAAACTTTCTTTCCAGCTTTATCTCCTACTGTGTGGATTATCATCAGTCTTATTCAGCGTAAGTTATTCACTGTTAGCTATAGAAATAATATTAATATATTTATGTTATTAATCGATTCTAATCATACGTATTAATAATGTCCCGTTGATAAAATGAGTAGTTTTTGGTAGCTGAAGGTCGTTAGGACAAAGCAGCGCAAGTTTGTCTGAGTCTGCATGTCATCCTATTCGTAGTTCTGTGTAAATAATAATAGATATAGTAAACCAGTGGGATATATTATCGGCCTGCCGGTGGTTGGGTAGCCGGATTCATCCGCATTCTCCAGAACTAAGTTGTGACGCAATTAAATCAAAATAGGGTTTCGCTCAATTTGGCGCTACCTGACGGTTCATTACCATATCTGTAGGAGTAGGGCTTTCGAACATGTGTGCTGCTTCGATGGAAAGTAAGTTGTTTATTTTCAGAACGTGTGAGACATTGTACGCCTGCACACCGGATCACGAGTCAGAGCTGTCGTTTCAACCAGGTCAAATTATAACAAATGGTGAGTGGTTGAATCTAATGTTAAAATGCCTAGGACTACTGTAGTCTCATCTCCTTCTCCTACATTCACGCCCTTCCACCCACTCACTAACACCTGTCGTCGTTGATTTTGCTCAGCTATGGTAGGTGTAATGGGCGGCGGAACTAAGTGATCGTACAGATGGATTGGTGCCTTTCCCCTTTGCCCTCCTCCATACCCTTCTTCGGCCTATTTTAAGAATAATCTTTGCTGAGCTTTGTTGGGCATCCTGTCACACCCCCAAATGGGTGCTATACGCAGCGCTCGTTTGATCATAGTCTTTACTCGAGGTACACTTCCCTACATCTGGGGCCGGGTGCAGCAAATTCCTGGAGGAGGGGTCCTCTGAAATTTCAGGCGGATTCCGTCGCGCGCGAGAAGGCAGCGCCGTAAAGGGGATAGATGGACAAAGTGCAGAACACAAAGAAAAATGCTGTGAGATTTCTATATGATAATTTGACGCGAAATCACTACAACACGCGGAGTGACTCTCCCGCTGACCCGATTGCGTGTCTGCCTTCTTGCCCGCGCTACGGGCCTCCTGTCGGGTACCCCTTTTTTCATCGCCTTTGATGTATAGTTTGGCAACCTTGAGTTTTTGTTACAAATTCGTAGGGATTCCATAGGGTTGGGAATCCCACTGAAAAAGAGTTTTTGCGGCTTTTCGCTTTTTTTTTCACCGTTGGAGAATCACCGCAGGTGTTTTCCGTGCACATTGACCCGTACCTATTCCATCGCTGAATGTACCTTGGAAGGCCGTGAACACGATGGCTGAACAGGTAGAGCGCCTTGATGACGCCATCGAACGTCATTGGTGGACCAAGCCCTACAGCGTGCGGGGGGGGGAATTAACACCACCCTTCCAACCACCTCTATGACTCCACAAAAGCGCTCGGCACTCCGGCCATTACGTGTTCACTTCCTTCAAGGCGGCTTTATGTCGATGTGTTTCATAATTATTCAGTGGAATCGTTATTTATTTGCTATTTTGTAGTGTACGAGTCGAAAGAAGAAGGTTGGTTGGTTGGCACACTCAATGGAAAGACTGGTCTAATACCATGCAACTATGTGGAACCATTGCCGTAACGCCGCTCTGTGCTGTCACTGATTTGGAATCGTTCCACCTACGGATTGACTACGATTCAGCGCCACAATTTGCGCTGATTATTGTGATTCTTTTGTACGGGTATTATTCGTGACGTTAGAGAATCTCTTCAGGGCATGTCGTTGTCAGTCTGATGTTGTTTGCTGATCGTTCGCGATTATTAGAAGCCAGTATTTCATCGCTAAGTCTAATTATGTGTCTATTGGAGTCCTCGCGTAATGTGGTTTTTGTCGTTCTCTCATGGGTACACGACAAGAGGCCCGTTGCGCGGCGAGAAGGCAGAGACGCAGAGGGGTAGTGGACAAGTCGCAGCGCGTACTGTGATATTTCTCTTTGATGAATTTGACGCGAAATCACTACAACACGCCGCCGTGTGACCCGATTGCGTCTCTGCCTTCTTGCCGCACCACGGGCCTCCTGTCGGTTCCCCTTTTTTTCCATCGCCTTTGAAGTTGTAGCTTGGCCACTCGGAGTTTTTGTTACGAGATTCGGCGGTTTTCTTTGTCATTGTTTCGGTTTCTCTTTGTTCTTTGTGAAGTACAGCTCTATAGAGTAGATTAACTAACGGGTATCGTTTTTCCCTTTCCCCGTCCAAATCCCATAATATTTAGAGATCACCAGCCTGCTACATAACGGACTCCGCTCTCTGTCGTCTTCCGCGCTCATTGTCGAATGCGAAGTGATGTCTGTTCTGTCTGTCTGTGTGTTAGTTGCTGGCTTGTGCTCCTGCGCTCGTCGTGTATTGTCCTCGGTTTGGGGTCTCGCCTACCTGATCAACTTGAGTTTCGCTCTTCGAGGGTGGCATCTCGAGATTGTATAGTGTAACACAATGTTCCGTTTCAACTTCTATGCGCTCCTAGTCGCGCAGCGATGCTTCAGCAACGTTGCAGTCTTGGGTTTTCTTTTCTTATGTTAGTATGTTGTATAAATTCTTCACGGTGATTATTCTGTGTAAATTATGACGACTAGAGGGTTATTGTTCAGTTGAGAAAAGCACAAAGCACTGAAAAATCTGCAGGAGTTGAAGGTGCATAAAAACGATCTTAGAAGGGAATGGCGAACGTAGAGGTCCTGGTGAAGTGGTATCAGGGTTCAAGAACATTCTGAACTTAAAGTCACACCCAGGATCGAATTAGTGGGGTCGCAGCGGCCGATAATGGAGTTGACAACAGCTGACAGACAGTTGAAAGAAACAAAGAAACCAACGGTGGAGCCCTAAACAGGGATTCCTTGAAATAGGGGAGGGGCGGGGTCGGACGAGTTATACGAACTTGCCTGCCCCACGGCTCAACTAACCCGCGTGTATTTGAATTAGCCGCTACTCTGTAATCTGAGTTGCGTCTCATGGGCTTGTGCTCGACGTAACTCGTCCAAATGCTTAGATTAGTCGCCAAATGCTAACTCTTATTCCCTTGCGCTGTTGTCGCGTACTTTCGAACTGCGACAAAGTGTATCGGCGATATCCGTGGCTACTCTATCTCCGTGATCCTTCGACACAACTGCTCAAGGTGTTGCTTTGAACTCTAACTTTTATTTTCTGTAGATAAGAGTGCGATTCAAGACATGTCCAGGATCAAACTGATTTGGTTCTTCCACAGAAATGAGAAGGTTTCGGTGCGGAATTGACTACCCGTTGAGAGAAAAATCTGTTGAAAAGGTTCTAGGCTAAGGCCAGCCAATTCTAGTGTCAAGGCAAAGAGACAGGGCGCAAAGGGCAGAGTATGAGCCGAGAGAACGGAATAGATGAGAGGCACTAAGCCTACTGCCAATGGGAAAAATTGAAGCAATTGAAGCAACTCGCAAGGCACCAGCAGTCTTGTTAAGCGATTTCCCCTGCACTGGAGGGCCACATTTGTAATTTCCCTCTAGAGAATTACCCTGCAGAGCGAAGGAGAGTAGTTCACAAAACCTCTGCCTGGTTTTTGTGTCTTGCTGCGGGAAGAGACCAGAAGAGAATTCTCGAAAAATTTCCCCTACTATGCAGATTATTGTCTCACCATCTTAACGGCACTTGGCGTGGCAGGAGACGAAGGATGTCGCGTTACAAGGGGTATCAGATCGTCTGGCAAAAGTATGCAATACGAAGTGGGGAGGGAGAAAGATAGAAGTAAGAAATAAGACGGACGGAATCAAGAAAAGGAACAAGAGTGCACTGTTGAACTTGCACGACTGTCCATTCTGCTTGGACGGGTGAAAAAGAGAGAAAAAGGCTCTTTTCAGGGAAAGCTTATCGGTGAAAAGCAGCTCATCAGAAAATCAAGGTAGAAGTGGGCCGGGAAAGACGAAGAAAAACCATGAAGAATGACCCAGAACTCGATGAGTAGACAGCTTTCTTGCTCGTTGGTTTGCCTATTGATGCAATTCTTGCCGGAGTTGCCCTCTTCAACGCTAACGCTTTCTCTCTAAACGACCAGAAACTCAGACCAACGCGAGAGAGGGAGTACCGTGCCATAGCGCGCTAATTTGGCCGCCGAAAGGTCGGCTAGACCACTTGGGGCCTGGATGCCTGCCCTGTCTCTCCACAGGTAAGTTACAACATCGTCCCCTTGTCCTTATCTTGGAATCCGCCTTCAATGCTATCTGCTTCAATGTACAGGCTTTTGATAGTCGAAACGGTCTTGTGATACTCCTTCGGATAGCAGCATATCCGGAGAGAATTGGCCGCGCAGCCTTCAGAAAGGTCATGGATCATGAATCAATGATTTCCTTTGTAGAAGCAAGATAAGGATAAGGATAAAGCATTTGCCGTTGATCAATCCCTTTTTTGGGATGCGGCACGCATTCTACTTCCATTTGTACATTCGTAGTGGCGTTTGAATGCGATGTGGCCTATACAATGACTTGCGGCCAGCCGATGTACAAGTCAGTGTTTTTATCCTCCCAGACAAGTCTGGTACCAATTAACCGACCCCGGAGGGATGGAAGGCTTGGTTGGCCCGGCCGACCCAGGATTTGATCCCCGGACCGCTCGCGTGGTGAGCGTGCCACTTGCCACTACACCACTTCCGCCCTTGTTAGGAGATAGCTCTGCATGTGGTTGGTGAGCGAGTTTCAATAAATCTAACAATACTCTACATTATACTATTTATAATCCAGCCGTGTAGGCCAATGTAAAATGTTAAAAAATCGCTGTTAAGTGGAGTCCAGCTGTACCTAGCGATGATTCTGTGTGTCTCCATGGTGGAAAAAGATTCTTTGTGAGATGTAACGGGACTTGTGCTAACCTCCTATTTCTTTGAAGGCTATGGTTCCCTGCCTGCTGACGAAGTTATACGAAGTCTCTGATCAGCCTTTACGTAACAGCCACTTGAAGCGCAATTATAGGATGAGTGTGCAAGTGCAGTTACCAATTACGGAGGATACTTACCCTGATTTACTAGATTTAATAACCTGTTGCACGGGAACACCATCGCAGGAGGGAACAGGGTCATACGAAGACTTTGCCGTTTCCACTGCAGCACAGCTTTACCAGGGTCAACCGTCCGTTGGATTTTTGTCAACGAGGGGTGGGGCGTCGTATTTGGGGTGGGAAAAAGGGGTATCATTCCGCGAGGTAGCCGGAGGATGATGATGCGTGTTGCTAAAATTTTTGCCGTCTTCAAGCGTGCGTGCGCAATATCCCCCCCCCCTCCCCCTCGCTCGACGGAATTTTGGAGGAAAAAGTGGGCGGAGTTTGGGCTGTGTCGACTGGTCTCAGAATCGAATACTATAGAATGAGCCCCATGATGGCGATGGCAGGCGAGGGTGGTGAAGGGTTGACCCTGAGGGGGTCGTATCGAGGCCCTCTAGAAGGGGGAGGGGGTCGTAAAATTTTCGAAATCGGTCCAACGTGACGGTTGACCCTGAGCTTTACCCACTTGATCCTTGCGTAGCACTTCTCAACTCCATTCAAATCAGATCAACAGTCAAAAAATCCACTTATCGAATCGGGCACGTGCCATGGCGGTGCCTTGCAATGAGGAAATAGAAGACTTATATACCTCGGTAGTTGTACAAGCCGCCACACACGAGCCGGCCAGCCAGCCAGAGCCAAATTGCCACTACGATTCTGAATGGAATAGAATGCGTGGCGCATTCCAATATGAGCTTATTTGAGCCGAATGCTTCAGGTTTTATCTTTATCAACGAATCCCTGCTATCACACCAAAACCACCGCCTCTATAAACATTTTCTAAAGTACGATGCGTAAGGGCGATCATTCTTCACATATTTCAAGTGGAGCGCAATTGTCCTGAATGGATGCCATTAATTGTGAGAAAGTGCTGCGGGAGAAAGCTTGCAGAACGTGTCACCGTAACGGTCTCGTCGACGATTTATGTGTTTTCTAAGGCGCAAGCCGTCCACGCAATGGGACTAAAGTGTGAAGTTGTCGTCGTCGGCGCGGGCGCTCAACAGCTCAACAGCACCAGCAGTTAATGCTTGAATTGGTTATTTTGCAGCAATTAAAGACGGCACTTGAGAGGCGAAAAACGAGGCCACCCCGGCACAATTCTATTGTCCCGTCGCTGTCCGTGTTCAGTTCGACAACTCCGTAAAGGCTACTTGCGATCGACGTCCTCCCGGAAGCTGTTCCTAACGCCCGAGGCATTTTAGGCGACATGAGACAAGTTTTTTCAAAGCCATTGCAGTTCTACCTTCGTGATGAAGGCGGCTCGTTCTCCGGCATGGGACTGATCGGGGGAATTCCGCTTCAGCAGCCACAGATGCCGACGGCTCGCGCAAAGTCACTCAACGCTAGAGAACTTTGATGAAAACTCACTCAACTGTCTTATTTACTTCGTTGCACCCGCTCATTGCCTCATGCAATACATCCCTGTTGTAGCCTACTATTGAAATATTACCCCTCGAAATCTTCGGGTCAATATGAGTTGCCAACATTAAAATAAAGGCTACTGCCAGCAATCTTTCGGAATGACTTCGCTCCAGCGCGCCGGAACATAGTTTAGTTCCTACCGAGGCTGGAGCCGGTTTTGACCCT